CCCCCCTCCCCCCTCCATGTCTGCATCCCTCCTGTTTCCAACCAGCCTTCTGGACCTCGAAGACCCTGAAGACACTCTTTCCCAGCCGCTCACCCCCTCTCGCCCCGGCACGCAGCAGCACCACACGCCCTGGCTGCTCTCCATGGGCAGCACAATCTCCAGAGCCGGGCAGCACATTGAAACTCTCGAGCTGCCCGGGCCTTCCCCCCCTCCTGCGTTCACGAGCTCACACTCGCTCTTCATGGGGTCCGACATCACTGCTGTTCGCACCCTGCCTTGGGGTACTGCTGGGGGAACGTGTGATGTTGCTGGCAGCCGTGCAGTGTGAGTGAGTGGGTGGGGGACGGGTGTCGCTGCTCCTGGGGGAACGTTAACAGCTATGTTTTTTGTTTGTTTTTTTTGTTTTTTTGGCAATGCCTCAAGAATATGAAACTTGCGCTCTTAATTTTTAGGTCTGTCACAACTGCCTTGGGGCATCGTAACGTGGTGGCTTTTGAGGCGATGTAAAAGTCTCGTCCCTTCCCTTTCCTCACAGAATCACTACGCTGGGGACAGGGGGTCAGCAGGCCAGAGTGGTGGTGGCTGCTCTCCACCTCGCAGGTGCTTCTGGTGCAGGCAGAACTGGTGGAGGCTCAGTTGGAGCAGACAGGGGTGCTGGCGGTGCTACTGATGGTGCGGGTGTGACGAGCAGCAGTGGCAGCGTCAGCAGGGGAAGGAGCAGGCAGCGTCTCGGTTGGCGGACAGAGAGGCAGTTTGTGTCCCATGGCAGTGTGTGGGCGTGTGTATGCTCGCCCAGACAGGGGGAGATCGGACTGGGTGAGTGGCAGTAGGAGGAGCAAGAGAGAGGGGGAATCGTGTCACTTGTTGTTTTGCCATGCACTCATTCTGTATCGTGCCAGGCTCATTCTTGTTTTTCATCGCAGGCTCGCGTTGGCCTGTCTCTCCCTGTGCTTCTCCGGCCTGGCCTCACTGCAAGGCAATCATTCCATGCCATGCCATGCACTGTGCTGTGCTGTCCTTGTGGCGTACCAAACCCTAAACCCATAACCCTGAACCGCTAAAAAAACCTCCCACTGCGTCTATGACTGGCTGCAGGCACGTCGCAGGGAGAGCAGCTGCTGGACATGGAGGCACGTTCAGAGGCGCCTCAGAAGTGCTTTTTCCTCTGGCAGCTCAGGAATCGTTCTTTTGGCGCATCAAGCCCGTCACACTGTGCTATGTCTGGCTGCAGGCACGTCGCTGGGAGCGCAGCTGCTGAACGTGGAGACAAGACAGGCAGGGGGGAGCCCTTGGTGAGCCAAAAGTCAGAATGTTTGTTTGCTGCAACTCCCTTTCACTGCTTTTCATGTCTGGCTGCAGGCACGTCGCAGGGAGCGCAGCTGCTGAACGTGGAGACGGGGCAACGGACAGCCCTGTGCCACAGCATCAGTGACGTGCTGGCGTTGCAAATCACGGGGGAGGTGAGATGCCGGCGAGGTGGTTTGCAGGGGAGGGGATTTGCGGGGGAGGTGTTTTGAGAGGTGAGAGGCGTCATGATCGAGAAGGATGCATGGAAACTGTAGATCCATGCCGTTTTCCATTGATTATGTCCTCCATTCATCCTCCCATCCATTCGTCTGTCCTCAACCGTTCCTCGTTCCACGTTTCCCCCCCCCCCCCCCCCCCCCCCCCCCCGTGCACCGCACACAGCAGCATCTATCTAGTTGGTTGGCTTTTGCAATGGAGCCATCAGCAGTATTGACATGCGGGCGCCCTTCCCCCTACCCCCTGCAAGCAGTATTCACCACTCTTGCACGTCATATCCCGCTCTTCCCCCCGAGAGAGTGCTTGCCTTAGAAGCTTCAACCACCACTCTTGTGCACATCATCACATCCCCACCCCGCGCCTTCCCGTTCTTTCCAGGGCAGCGTATACCATGTTTGAGGCGCCTAAAACATCGCCTTCCAATTCTTTCCGGGGCAGCGTATACCTGCCAGGCTTTCGCAACTGGGATTATAACAACCATTAGCACAGGAGCGTGCTTGCCCTGAATGTGTAACCCACCATTTTCGGGCACATAATATCCCCCAAAACATCATATCCTCTGATCGCCTCTCCACCCCGGGCAGCATCTACTTGGCAGGCTTCCGCAACGGAGCCGTCGCAGCCATTGACACACAAGCGCCCCTGTCCACATAGTCCCAGCAGCGACGGTTTCTTGTGCACGCCCTATTCCCCATCCCCGGTTCCCCCTTTATTCCCCTCCACCCCAGGGCAGCATCTACTTGGCTGGCTTCCGCAACGGAGCCATCGCCACCATTGACACTCGAGCACCGTTGCCCACATCGTCCCAGCAGCAAGGGCCACATCAGGGAGTGGCAACTGCCCCTGCCATTAGCAGCTATCAGCAGCGGGGGGGAGGGCAGGAAGGGAGGGGCAGAGGGGTGGCAAGAGGGGAAAGAGCGGTGGAGCGGAGTGGAATGATTTCTACTGCAGCCACCAGCGGGTGATGCGCATGCCGTCTGCTGTCTCGAGGTATGCGCATGCCGTCTGCTGTCTCGAGGTAAGCTCATTCCTTCTGCTATCTCAGGGTAGGGTTACCTTCTGCTGCCTTCTGCATATTTTCGAGGCGTTGCTTAGCAATTCGGAGGTGTCTAGATTCCGCTCCCTTCGGCCATTGTATAGGTAGTATGTCGGTTCGAAGCACGTGCAGCACGTGGAAGTTGGAACTGAGGGCGCTTATAACGTCAGGTGGTGCTCTTGCAACATATCCACGGCACATGGAGTCCGTGTGATCGCTCACCTTGGTTTTCGTCCTCAGTCCTGTTTCTTGCCGCTGTTCATATGCTCCTGCTCTTGAGGTGTATTTTGAGTCGACTCAAAATACACTCCGGCCTGTTTCTTGCCGCTGTTCATATGCTCCTGCTCTTGAGGTGTATTTTGAGTCGACTCAAAATACACTCCGGCCTGTTTCTTGCCGCTGTTCATATGCTCCTGCTCTTGAGGTGTATTTTGAGTCGACTCAAAATACACTCCGGCCTGTTTCTTGCCGCTGTTCATATGCTCCTGCTCTTGAGGTGTATTTTGAGTCGACTCAAAATACACTCCGGCCTGTTTCTTGCCGCTGTTCATATGCTCCTGCTCTTGAGGTGTATTTTGAGTCGACTCAAAATACACTCCGGCCTGTTTCTTGCCGCTGTTCATATGCTCCTGCTCTTGAGGTGTATTTTGAGTCGACTCAAAATACACTCCGGCCTGTTTCTTGCCGCTGTTCATATGCTCCTGCTCTTGAGGTGTATTTTGAGTCGACTCAAAATACACTCCGGCCTGTTTCTTGCCGCTGTTCATATGCTCCTGCTCTTGAGGTTCTCACGCCCGTTCGACAGCACATGCCCCTTGTGAAGCCGTAAATCGTGCAGTTTTCACTGTGCGCGCACGCGCGCGTGTATGTGTGTGTGGGGGGGTATGTGTGGGTATGTGTTTCCTGTCACATTTCCTTGCCCAGCATGCAGGCGATGAAGCAGAGCGAGTTCTATCTCTTTGCGTCCTCATTCGATGGATCCGTGAGTGCCAAACTCTTTGTAGAATCGTGCCAACTTCACTTCTTCCCGATGTTGAATCGTGCAGGACAACTGTGGTCCGATCGTCTCGCCACTTTCACCAAGATCCATGTCTGCTGCTGGTTCAACGAGGCCCACATTCGTTTCGTTTCATCGCCTCTTTCTATACATTATGCGTCGATGCAAGGGCTGTGTGGTTCGACGTTTGCGTCTCTCGCTTCCTTCCACTGAACGTTCATTGCACCTTCCTGCCATGTGTCCCACTCCCAGCTGCAGCTGTTTCGGCGGGGCTTCGAGTCCGCCTGTGCATCTTTTAGGCACCTGAAGCCATCCCTTACTCCGTTTTCTCCCATCCCTTCTATCATAGTTGTTTCAGTGGGACCTTCACTCCACATCAGCACCAGTGCATGCCTCAAACCATGCCTTACCCCATTTCCCTCCGTTTTCTCCCATTCTTTATCGCAGTTGTTTCAGTGGGATCTTCGCTCCACATCAGCACCAGTGCGTCAGCTGCAGGGTCACAGCAACTCGCACCTGCGCCTGCCTCTGCTGCTTGACCCGTCGGAGAACTTTCTTTGTGCACGTGAGTCCATGAAATTAGCCCGGGCATGTTGTGGTGGTGAACTCTTGTACTTGTCTATTTCGTTCTTCTTGCTTATTGTTAGCAAACTTGTTCCGTTATTATTTGATGTTTTGTAGTAACCTTTCTGTGTCCGTGCAGCTGGGGATGACTCCATGGTTCGCATTTGGAGCGTTTCATCCGCTGCATTGTTGTCAATTGCTCAACTCCCAGACAACGCAACCGCTGCCGTTTGGCCAATCACGTGTGGTGAGTGATCGTGATTCTCTTTCTACCCCCTCCCATCAACTTCCCCCCCCTCTTCCCCCCTGCCACACTTCCCATCCTTCGTGTTGCTTCTCATTTCGAACCATCGTGCATCCCCCACTAACAGCATGGCTTTCTTGGCACGGCTTTCCCTTGAATAATTCCTATAAATGCAGGTCTAGGTAGTGGTTTATCTGAGTGTCCAGATGGCCTATTTCTTGGTACATATGAATCTTTGTGTTTCTTGGACGTTTCTGTGTAGTGTGAATGTAAATCAAACATACCTTCAATTTCACAATTCGCGCAACTAATGCCAAATCCGACTAGCATCGAGGAATTTTTTGGCTGACTCGTTCAACCAGCCGACTGCCACGTGGCGTCAGCATGCTGGCATGTACACCAGCCACTCGTTTCCTCCGCCCAGGCCGCAGCGCTCTCAGCCGCGGACCACATTTCAGCCGCACGCGGCATTCCCCACTGCTGTCGTTCCGCCACTTATCGTCGTTCCGCCCACCTGATCCCGCCGCCCTCCGCTGCTTGGCGGCACCTAGGGAATATTGCCAACGGCTCTCTCTCTCTCTCCTGCTGAACTCTAACCTCTGAAATTATGTTTTGTGTTACCAGCTTCAGTTAGAGGAGGGGGGTCAGTCAGAGGCATAATCCATTCACATACCTGTAAAAGCTGACAGTTACCTTGACAGTCTTCATAGGCTGCTTAGGAGCCTGTACAAGCTGAACCGTGGTCGTCGTTCGCCTTAGCACCACTTCACAAGACTTCAGCACGCACTGATCGAGCGCTGAATTTTGTGACACATTGTGCTCGATTCCACATTGTGACCAGGCTTTCGCATTGCACTATCCTGTGAACCATGCTACTAATGAAGTTACGGAACATAATGCTATGGTGAATTCTGGCCGCTCCTTGACGTAAAACCCCAAAGCTTCGTATTACGTTTGCGAAGTGGACTCCGATAACAACAACGCTAGTACGCTTATTTCCTGGGAAAACTTAAGAACCGCTTAACAGCCATGGTGGGGCCACCGCTCGCTGCGTTGCACCATTCAGCCACGTTGAGCGCAGTCAATGTCGCGCCCGTTCGCTCTTCCGAATGCCAGGCGAGAGTAAGCTTTTCGTTAGAATCACAGCTGTCGCTTCTATCGGGAAGCACAAGCGCTCGTTCCAACGTCGCCCCTAAAGACCATCGGCTTCAGCAGCAGCAGCAACAGAGAGTGTTCGCTTCGTCCGCAAGAACGGCGGCGACGGGGCCGGTGGTGGCGACTTTGGCGTCGGAGAACGAGGCGGCGAAGCCAAGCGTGAAACCCGCGAATTCGGGAGACTCCAGGCTTGCGAAGGTAACAGCAATTTCGCGAATCAAGCTTTGCACTCTTCCGGACCAAGGTATAAGAAGGCCATTTGGACAAAAAGAAATTCATATTTCTTCCGTATGGTTTCCCTTCCCCCTTCTCACCTTAGCTTCTTAGCCGATAAGCTGCTGGAGACGACGACTCCTTTCCCTTCAGGAGCTTCCACCCTCTGTCTCTCCCCCACCTCCCGTTCCCCTCTTTTTCCCATCTCTCCCCCCCTCCCCCCCCCCCCCCCCCCCCCCAGGTCCCCATCGAGCGCATCCGCAACTTCAGCATCATCGCGCACATTGACCACGGCAAGTCGACCCTGGCGGACAAGCTGCTGGAGACGACGGGCACGGTGCAGGCGCGCGAGATGAAGGAGCAGTTCCTCGATAACATGGATCTGGAGCGAGAGAGGGGGATCACGATCAAGCTACAGGTAGGTTAACAGCATCAGGGTACAGGTAGGCAGGCACAAGAAGGCACGCGCACTGACAGGCGCGCGAGATAAAGGAGCAGTTCCTTTCCTGGATAACATGGACCTGGAGAGGGAGCGAGGGTTCAGCATCATATTATCGATAGGTTGAAGAGAACGAGGGGGACATGTGAATGTCCCCTCTGTCCCCTCTGCGCATTGGCTGACAGAGGGGACATTCACATGGCAGGAAGGAGGCAGGAAGGAGGCAGGAAGGAGGCAGGAAGGAGGGTGAAGGGCCACGAGGTGGAAAGCAGCTCTTACGAGAAGAAAACAGCACAATGGCGTGTGTGAATCTGTATCACTGTTGCGTGCGGCGCTCTGCCCTCTCACCCAAGCCTTTTACAAAGAAGCGATGATGCCAAGATAAAGGCCGAAATGACAGCTGCCAGGTGGCAGGCAGTGACTGGCCGGTTGGCCTTGACTGGGTCAACGGTGAAGTCACTGTCTTGCTTTCCCTTGGCTGCCAGCGTGACATGTGCACACAGCGAGCAAAGGTTGATCCTGTTTCCTCTGAGCTTCTGAGTTAAAGGCTGGGGGGGGTGGGGAGAGCTTGGGGGGTGGGATTGGGAGGGGATTGCAGAGAGGGTGCTGTCTTATGCCGCACTGCCTTGCTCTCCCTTGGCTGCCAGCGTGACATGTGCACGCAGCGAGCAAAGGTTGATCCTGTTTCCTCTGAGCTTTTGAGTAAGTGAGGCGATTGCATAAAGGGTATTGTGAGGCGTCAGTGGTTGTTGTCGGTGAGATGGTATGGGGTGGGTGGTTTGCAAGGATCGAACAGAGGAGGGACATGAATTGCTGCCACCTGCCCTTGCCTGTAGCGCCCTCTCCTTCTCCCTCTCTGGCATGGGGGGCATGGGTGCATCTTTTTAGGCGCCTCAACAATGGGTTGCAAGGATCGAAAAGAGGAAGGACATGAATTGCTGCCACCTGCCCCTGCCGGCTGCACCCCCTCTCTCTCTGTGCAGAAGGGGCATGTAGGCAGGGGTGGGGTGAGGCCAGCAGAGAGTATGACGTCCGTTACACTTGATATGAGCAACCTTCCTCGCCGGCGTGGTGTATTGGTTTCTTACCTGTCTCTGTAATCACGGTGCACGAGTTTCTGTTACAAAGCAACACATGGTATGCGCACCTTCGCCGTTCTATGAGCCATGCGTGTTCAGCAAAGCAAATGAATATGTTTACTGGGATTTTTTTTATTTTTTTTGTCCATTGCATCGTTATCTTCAGATAAAGTAATAGTTTTTCCTCCCAGTAGCTCAGCTTCCCTTCCCTAAGTGTTGTCTCTCAAAGTCTGTGGAAGAAGCTATGATGATGACGACTGACTGCATTAGGAGAGTTTTTGAGCCCACTTTGCTCCTCAACTCCCTACACCCGCTAGCCACAACAGCCAGCCTCCCCTAAGCCGCTTTCCTCCTTGCACTCTCCTCCCACCAGTCAACCCCCCCACGTCCGCACCACCCCCTCTGCTCCTCCGTTCCACTTCTGCTGGCAGCGTGACAGACACTTAGCCAAATCTGAAGGCCCTCCTGCTCCTGTCGTCCCTTCGCTCCTGCCCCCCTGCTTTCTCTTCTCAACCCCGGATTCCCCTTCTTTTGCGAGAGTGAAGGAGGGAGATGCAAGGGGGAGGGTTGAGAGGGGTGGGGGGTGGAAGTGGGGGGTTCGAGATGGTTGCAGAGAGGCCTGATGACGTAAACGAGCTGGTCTGAGACGAAGGTTTATCTGAGTCTGGTATTTGCCGCTGGAGGAATCTGAGCACGAGAGCGGGTGGGGTGATGTGGGGGAGGTGTTGTGTGGGGGAGGTTGTGCTAGGGGGAGGCGGTGAGGGGGTTGGCTGCTCTGTGTGTGTGAGGGAGGCTTGCTCGCAAGCTCTGCCTCACGAGAGCTGTGGGTACTGACTGCTGGATGGTGCTGCTGCCCCTGGTGACAGAGTGCAGTGCATTGTCTGCAGATGAAGTAATCCTGCGTCCTCTGAGCTTCTTCCGTATTGTGTTGTGTGTGTTTGGGAGGCCGGCTTGCTTGCAAGCTGCCTTACGGGAGTGGTGCCTTTACTCCGCTGGAAGTGGAGTGGAGGCACTATCCCTCCACTGCCCCCTTCCGAGAGATTTTTGAGATTTCTCAAAAATTGCTTGCAAGCTACCTCACGAGAGTGATAGCTTTGCTCTTGCACAATCTCCCCACTGCCCCCTTCCAAAGCCCCTCCCCTCCCCTTCCAGGCAGCTCGTATGCGGCACGTATTTCGGGTAGACGGCAAGGCCTACTGCCTGAACCTCACTGACATGCCCGGCCATGTGGACTTCAGCTACGAGGTGTCTCTTCCCTAGGTTCATCCCATACCCTCCTTTCCCTCTTCACCCATCCCCCCTATCCGAACCTGCAGGCAGCTCGCATGCGCCACGTGTCACGTGTGGACGGCAAGGCCTACTGCCTGAACCTCATCGACACGCCCGGCCACGTGGACTTCAGCTACGAGGTGTCACGGTCACTAGCTGCATGTGAGGGGGCGCTGCTGGTGGTGGACGCCTCGCAGGGCGTGGAGGCGCAGACGCTGGCCAATGTGTACCTGGCGATTGAGGGGAACCTGGAGATCATTCCGGTGGGTTTGGGGTTTGGGGTTCAGGTGAGTTTGGGGTCTGGGATCCCTAGAGGGGGCGCGGCTGGTGGTGGACGCGTCGCAGGGCGTGGAGGCCCAGACACTTGCCATTGTGTACCTCGCGATAGAAGACAACCTGGAGATCATTCCAGCGGTGAGTTCGGGGTTAAGGGTTCTAGGGGGTTCAGGGTTAAGGGTTCCAGGGGGTTCGGGGTTAAGGATTCCAGGGGGTTCGGGTTTAAGGGTTCCAGGGGGTTCGGGGTTTTGGGTTCGGGCTTGGAGTGGCATGCGGTCTCCAAGAGGGGGCGCTGCTGGTGGTGGACGCGTCCCAAGGCGTGGAGGCACAGGCGCTGGCCAATGTGTACCTCGCGATTGAGGGGAGCGTCGAGATCATTCCAGAGAGATTCTAAGGTTTTGGGGTTGGATGCTTGAGACGCCATTTCTTCACTCGTGTTATCCGTGCTCGTCGTTGTTTGTTATGCTCCTCTTCTTGTCTCACCATCTGCCTCCTTCCCCACGACCCCATGTGCTCAGCAAGATCGACCTGCCAGGAGCGGACCCAGAGAGGGTTAGGGCGGAGGTGGAGGAGGTGGTGGGGCTGGCTGGACCTCCCTTTTATATGTGTTCTGTCTGGTCTATTTGTTCGTGCTTATTGACCTGCCATGGGCGGACCCAGAGAGAGGGTGCGAGCAGAGGTGGAGGAGGTGGTGGGGCTGGATGCTTCAGACGCCATTCCTTCGTTGATTGTTCCGTTCAGCTTCTTACTGACTCTCTCCATCCCGCTTCCCCATGTGCTCAGCAAGATCGATCTGCCAGGAGCGGACCCAGAGAGGGTGCGAGCAGAGGTGGAGGAGGTGGTGGGGCTGGATGCCTCTGACGCCACTCCTCAGTTTCCCCCTCTCCCTCTTTCTCATCTTTTTGTCACTTCTCCCTTCCTCTCTCCCCGCTCCCCCCAGGTGCTGAACAAGATCGATCTCCCAGGGGCGGACCCAGAGAGGGTAAGGGCGGAGGTGGAGGAGGTGGTGGGGCTGGATGCGTCAGACGCCATACTGTGCTCCGCCAAGGAGGGCATTGGCATCGACGACATTCTCGAGTCCATCATTGCCAAAGTGCCGCCTCCTGCCCCTACTAGGGACCAGCCGTTGCGCTGCCTGATATTCGACAGGTGAGAGTGCTGAATGTGATTCACTGAATGCAGTGCCTCTCAGACGCCATCCTGTTTTCGGGCAAGGAGGGCATCGGCACCGACGACATTCTCGAGTCCATCATCGCCAAAGTGCCACCTCCCGCTCCCACTCGCGACCGGCCACTGCGGTCGACTCAAAAGTCACCAAATCATCAACGTTAGTGTGTGGTGGATGGCAAGGCCGTAAGGAGGTGACTTTTGAGTTGACTCAAAAGTCACCAAATTATCAACTTTAGTGTGTGGTGGACGGCAAGGCCGTAAGGGCGGTTCTAGGGTTTGCATTCCTCCTGCCTTCTCACCTCTCCCTGTTACTTTATCGCTGCTACTATGACCCCTACTCAGAGTGGTAGTCGGCGAGGTGCGCAAGGGCGGCTCATGGCGAGTGAATGCATCGCTGCTTGCTCTTCCCTCCTCCCTTCCCCTTCCCCCTTCCCTTGGCGCTTGCCTCACTTCCCTGCAGCGACATTGTAACGAGGTGACTTTTGAGTCGACTCAAAAGTCGCCTCATTACAATGTCACACTTCCCCTTCCCTTGGCGCTTGCCTCTCTTCCCTGCAGCTACATTGTAACGAGGTGACTTTTTGAGGCGCCTCAAAACCACACTTCCCCTTCCCTTGGCGCGTGCCTCTCTTCCCTGCAGCTACTACAATCCATTCCGTGGGGTGATGGCAAGGTTTGCAAGGGCGACAGACAGTCTGCGCTTCATGGCGAGTGACTGCCTGCTGCTTGCTCCCCTCTCCTCTCCATTACCCCGTGCAGCTACTATGACCCATGCCGCGGGGTGATCGTGTATTTCCGCGTGGTGGAGGGGGATGTGCGCAAGGAGGGCAGTGTGCGCTTCATGGCGAGTAAATGTCTTGCTGCTTGCTCCCCTCTCCTCTCCCCTCTCCTTACCCCCTGCAGCTACTATGATCCATATCGGGGCGTCATAGTGTATTTCAGGGTGGTGGATGGGGAGGTGCGCAAGGGCGACTCGGTGCGCTTCATGGCGAGTGGCAAGCAGTACGAGGTGGACGAGCTGGGCGTGTTGTCACCCACGCAGATGCAAGTGGAGTGCCTCTATGCCGGGGAGGTGAGGGGAGAGATGAGATGGCATTCTGTTGTCTCGATACCAGTGAAGTGGGGCACTGCATGTCAAGGGTTCCGTTCCAAGTGCTCTCGCCCACGCAGATGCAATTGGACCACCTCTATGCTGAAGAGGTGAGGTATCTGCTCTTGCAGGGTGTGCGTGGGTTGTTGGCCTCATGTGCTTGAGAGAGGTAGCAGTAGGGGTCGCAAGGGTGGAAGGCACGGTAACGCACACAGGGGGAGCAGGGAATGGCGGGCCACCAGCCAAGAACTGACGTTCTCCTCCCCTGTTCTTTTCATTCTAACCCAACTCCTACTCGTGTGTATAACTTCGTTGTCCAATAACCCCAGGTTGGCTACCTGGCAGCGTCGATCCGTCAAGTGGCAGACGCGAGGTTGGGAGACACGATCACGCACGCAGGGGGGGCAGGGAAGGGCGGGGCACCGGCCCTAACTCTTTCCTTCTAACCCAACTCCTCGTGTGTCAAATTCTTTGTCCAATAACCCCAGGTCGGCTACTTGGCAGCATCGATCCGCCAAGTGGCAGACGCGAGAGTGGGAGACACGATCACGCATGCGGGGGGGGCAGGGAAGGGCGGGCCACCGGCCAAGGAGTCCCTGCCAGGGTACAGGGAGGCGGTGCCGATGGTGTTCTGCGGGCTCTTCCCCATCGATGCCGACCAGTTTCCTTCACTAAGGGAGGCGCTGGAGAAGCTGCAACTCAATGACGCTGCCCTGCAGGTGAGGATGTGGAGGGGGAAGGATGGGGGAGGAGGTGGGGTAGTAGTCCCTGCTAGGAGGTGGGGTAGTAGTCCCTGCAAGGAGGTGGGGTAGTAGTCCCTGCTAGGAGGTGGGGTAGTAGTCCCTGCCAGGGTACAGGGAGGCAGTTCCTCCAATGGTGTTCCGCGGGCTCTTCCCCATCGATGCCGACCAGTTCCCAGCTCTCAGGGAGGCGCTGGAGAAGCTGCAACTCAATGACCTGCAGGTAAGGGGGGAGGGGAAAGAGGGAAGGAGGGTGTCGATTCAGACTTCCAGATCTCTGCAGGTCCTTATCACATTCATATATACTTTCACCCTAACTCCCCAACACCTCACTTCCCAACCCCTCGCTCCCCAACCCCTCACTTCCCCCCTGCTCCGCTCATGTGTGAGATTCCTTAAAGCCACGGTGCAAATATAGCCAGCGAGGTTCAATTGTTTATAAGTTGAAAGGCTAGGTTACCCGGTGAGGCAGTGCTGAGCTCGCCAAAAGCCGTGCAAAAACTTGAACCAGAATGGTGCACTCCAAACCTCGAAAGTTGTCACTCTGCTCCCCGTGCGTTTGATTCCCCTCGCCTTGTTTCCTTCCCCCGAGCCCATTTCGTTTCCCCCCCAAGGCCCCCAGGGCGGCGCCCTCACTTTCCCACTTCCCAAGGGGCAATTTCGATTCCGCCTGGGGGCTCAAGAATTTCCGCCTGCGACGGATTTCAAAATGTTTTCAACACCCCGCCCACAAAACTCCCCCTGCCTTTCCCCCCTATCCCGCAACATCGGCCTCGGACCCACAGGCAGGACCAAAATCAAATTACAGCGTGGCGAAATCACAAAATTCCCAACCAATCACGCGCTTCGTTCTTTCCATACCACGTCGCTAAACTGCTAACACCCAACTGCCTCTATGGGTTCATGGTTTTATTCAATCTTGGACGGCGTCTTTAAATCGCTGTCCCTCCCCTCTCCCCTGCATCCCCCCACTCTTCCCCCCCCCTCTCCCCCCTTCCTCCTTTTCTTTCTGTCCCTCTCTCTTCCCCCCAGTTCGAGCCTGAGAGCAGCAGCGCCATGGGCTTTGGCTTCCGCTGTGGCTTCCTGGGTCTGCTGCACATGGACGTGGTGCAGGTGAGAGCTTGATGGCATGGACGTGGTGCAGGTGAGCGCATGGTGGCATGGACGTGGTGCAGGTGAGCGCATGGTGGCATGGTGGCATGGTGGCATGGTGGCATGGTGGCATGATGGCATGGTGGCATGGTGGCATGGTGGCATGGTGGCATGGTGGCATGGTGGCATGGTGGCATGATAGCATGATGGCATGGTGGCATGGTGGCATGATGGCATGATGCCATGATGCCATGATGGCATGGTGGCATGGTGGCATGGTGGCATGGTGGCATGGTGGCATGATGGCATGATGGCATGGTGGCATGGTGGCATGGTGGCATGATGGCATGATGGCATGGTGGCATGGTGGCATGGTGGCATGGTGGCATGGTGGCATGGTGGCATGATGGCATGATGGCATGGTGGCATGATGGCATGGTGGCATGGTGGCATGGTGGCATGGTGGCATGGTGGCATGATGGCATGGTGGCATGGTGGCATGGTGGCATGGTGGCATGATGGCATGGTGGCATGATGGCATGATGGCATGGTGGCATGGTGGCATGGTGGCATGATGGCATGATGGCATGGTGGCATGGTGGCATGGTGGCATGGTGGCATGGTGGCATGATGGCTTGGATGTGGTGCAGCGTAGGTAAGAGCAAGAGGGCATGATGGCATGAGTCTTATAGCACACTGCACATGGATGTGGTGCAGCTATGTATATGGTGGCATGATGCATCATGCTCGGAACATGTTGCTCCGTCCATGCACATGGCCCCACTACACATATGTGTCTTACACAATGATACTGATATGCTGCCTATGCATGTGCCACATGAGCTTTTGGAGTGTATTTTTAGGTGCCGAAAAACAGATCCGTTAGTGACTGACATGTTCACCTTCCGTTTGCATATGCATGTGTCCTACAGGAGCGGCTGGAGCGCGAGTACGGCTTAGACTTGATCACGACAGCGCCCAGTGTGGTGTACCGCGTGCTGAAGAGGGACGGGACAGTGGTGGAGTGCTCCAACCCCTCTGAGATGCCCGACGCGTCCATTCGCACTGAGATCCAGGAGCCGTATGTGCGGGTGAGTGGGGCTGTGGATGGCTGGGCGTGCAGTGCTTGTATCGGGGACTGTCAAGAGGGACGGGTTGGTGGTGAAGTGCTCTAATCCGCCTAAGATGCCCGATGCGTCCGTTCGGACTGAGATTCAGGAGCCGTATGTGCGGGTGAGTGGGGCTATGAGGTTGAGTTGGCCTGTGGAGCTGCGTGTAGTGATGCCTGTGGTGAAGAGGGGGCTGGTAGGTGGTGGAGTAAAAGCACGATGCGTCTGTTGGCAGGCACCGTGATGCAGGACCCGTACATGGGGGGAGGAGAAGGCCTGTGGATGTGCTTGTATTGGTGAGGATGGATGGCTGGTGTGCTGTGCTGTGCTGTGCTCCAACCCCGCTGAGATGCCCAGTGCCTTCCTTCCCCTCATCAACAGATTGACATCCTGTCCCCCAAGGACTATACCGTCTTGCTCAGGGGCGGAGGACGTTGCCCCTTCGCATGCCAGTTGAACACTCCCTTCCGCCCCCTCCCACCCCAACCAACAGATGGACACCCTGCCCCCCAAGGACTTTATCGGCACACTCATGGAGGTGTCTCGGGAGCGGCAGTCGTTGCCCCTCGGCATAGTAATAGAGGCTTCCTTGTGCCCCCCCTCCCCTTCCCCCACCCCAACAGATGGACGTCCTAAGCCCCAAGGATTATATCGGCACACTCATGGAGCTGTCTCAAAAGAGGCAGTCGTTGCTTACCTACCCCTCTGTGTGCTAGTCGACATCCTCCTTGTACCTTCCCGCCCTCCTCCCAACGCACAGATGGACATCCTGTCCCCCAAGGACTATATCAGCACGCTCATGGAGTAGAGGACATTGCCCCGTTGCTTGCTAGTTGAAAATCCCCTTCCCCCTCCCTACACCCCAACCAACAGATGGACATCCTAAGCCCCAAGGACTACATCGGCACGCTCATGGAGCTGTCTCAGGAGCGACGGGGCGAGTTTGTGGAGATGAAGTATGTCACGGAGGCGAGGACAACGCTGTCGTACGACATGCCCCTGGGAGAGGTATGCATGCACTAGGGGAAGGAGGGGAGGGGAGAGGAGGGGGGGGGCGTGAAGCAAGGAAGCAAGGCAGTATGTCATGGAGGCAAGGACAGCATTGTCGTACGACATGCCCCTGGGAGAGGTATGGTGAAGCGCCAGGCGTTGTATAAGAAAGAGCACCTGAGGGGGGGTGGGATGAGGGAGAGGGAAGGGGTTGTGGAAATGAGGTATGAATGAGTCACGGACCACTCTGGCATACAACACGCAGCTGGTTTGGGAGTGGTAGGAAATGCTATTGGCCGGTAGGAATTGTGTATGTGAATGTGCGGGAATCACGGACCACGAGAGGCATGCGGAAGAGTACGGGGAATATGGAATGGAGTAAGAGTTTAATTGTGTGACAACGTCACAAACTACATTGTTGTACGACATGCCACGCTGCTGGGAGAGGTAGGCGACACGCTCCATGGACCAGTTTTCCCCTAGGGTATGACAAGGCAAACAGGTAGACATGGTTAAAACGCGATTGCGATTTATATCGCATAGCATTGGGGTGCGATTCCATTTGGCGCGTTTTTGGGCTTTGACCCCCCCCCCCCTAGCGCGATTTTGCGTCAGTGATGTTTTTGACATCGCGCACGATTTTTTTGTTATCGCAAATCCCATTTTTTTGTGCGCGATTAAATGCGATTTATTTAAATCGCGCGATAAACAATAAATTGCACCGCGAAATTAACCCATATTTTTTCTTAAATCGCCATCGCAAGAACGCGATTAAATACGATGCGATACGATTTTTTTTAACCATGTCTACAAACAGGGAAGGCGGCGTAATTTCACTATGCCTACTTTTTCTTTATGGCAAGTACGTAGAGTTGATTCAGAAACCTTGAGCCGCCTCAGGAGCAAAATAGTTCTCACTCGCTTTAGATTAACGTTCTCAGCGATTGCCTATGAAACGCAGATGACAAGGCTCCATAAATCGCCTTCAACGATCAGTGACTCGAACGAGCATTTCGGCTCCAATTGGATGCGACCTATTCAACGGCCGTTGATTGCTCCATTGCAAAGCTCTGTCGATGTTGGTGTAGTGAGAGTACAAAACTGCGTGCCTTGCTGACGGACACCGATAATCACTCGAAGGCTTTCAGCGATATCGAAACCGACAAGTGTTGACGTTAACGTTGCAAAGTCTCGCCTCCAAATTGCTTCGGATATCGCGGAAAGACTTCAGTTGAGTTTAGACGTGTGTCAACAAGGCACGGAGATTATTACTACCCGCTCCGTTAACATCCCCAGAACGCGATGGATCAATCAGCGAGATTTGCAAACATCGCTTCCAGTTGGAGTTGAAATGCTCATACGAGTCACTAATGGATGATGAGGATCTGCGAAGCATTGTCATCGGCGTTCCTTTGGCAAACGTTGAGGACGCGATTCCAAGGTGAGTGAGCGACGGAAGCAGGAAGAAATTGGTAAAGTTGATTGAGTGAACTGAGAAGATGGTTTGATTTGTCAACGCGGAAGAGACAATGGGGTTGATTGGGTACCGTATGTTAGTTTGCTGCTTGGTGAGAGATGGTGGGTTTTCTTTCACGCCGCAACATCAAACGTCACGCGTGGTGGTCTTTTCCATGTTGCCCTTTGGCAGGTGGTTGGTGATTTCTTCGACCAGCTCAAGTCTCGCACCAAAGGCTATGCTAGCATGGAGTACAAGGTCATCGGGTATGCCCCTTATGCCAAGTCACAGGGTATGCCCCTTATGCCAAGTCACAGGGTATGCCCCTTATGCCAAGTCACAGGGTATGCCCCTTATGCCAAGTCACAGGGTATGCCCCTTATGCCAAGTCACAGGGTATGCCCCTTATGCCAAGTCACAGGGTATGCCCCTTATGCCAAGTCACAGGGTATGCCCCTTATGCCAAGTCACAGGGTATGCCCCTTATGCCAAGTCACAGGGTATGCCCCTTATGCCAAGTCACAGGGTATGCCCCTTATGCCAAGTCACAGGGTATGCCCCTTATGCCAAGTCACAGGGTATGCCCCTTATGCCAAGTCACAGGGTATGCCCCTTATGCCAAGTCATTGGGTATGCCCCTTATACCAAGTCACTAGGGATGCTCCTATACAGAGTCAGTCGGATATGCTGATGATATGGAGGAACTATTTGCAGCAGGATGCTTTCTCGCTGCACTCCCCTTGCAGTAAGACACCTCCCCACCGCCGTTCTTTACCCCCCGCCCCCCTCCCCCGCTTAACCGCTCCATCCTCTCCCCCTTGCCTGTCACGGTATCACCTCTCCTGGTGAAGATGGGCATTCAGCTAGACTTGGAAATTGTGGACCTGTCTCTCCCTCCTACACCCACCTCGGTTTGCATGTCGGCCAACAACCCCTCCCCACCCCTTTTCGAAGCTACCGCACGAGCAACCTGGCAAGGGCATTCAGCTCTTAGAGCTCTTCGTCCCTTCGCCCCCATCCCTCCCCCCCCCCCCCCCCAGGCACGCAGGCACCGCAAGAGCAACCTGGTGAAGATTGGCATTCAACGTGGTGATCGTGCAACCCCTCCCTCCCTCCTGCCCCCACCCCACCTCCTCCCCTTCCATGCGCCAGGTAGCCTTGCCCTTTCCTCACTTGCTAACGCCATGCAGGAACCGCAAGAGCAGCCTGGTGAAAAGATGGGCATTCAGCTCTTAGTGCTCTTCCTCCCCTGCCCCCCCTTTTCCTGCACTCACCCACCCCCACATCTCTCAGCTACTGCAAGAGCAACCTGGTGAAGATGGGCATTCAGCTGAACAGGGCGTTAGTGAAGCTTCTACTCTCTTCTTCCAGTACTCACTTCCCCTTGAGCTGTTGAACCAATTTACCCACCCCACCACACCCCATCTTACATCCGCAGGTACCGCAAGAGCAACCTGGTGAAGATGGACATTCAGCTGAACGGGGAGGCTGTGGAGCCCCTCTCAGCCATCGTGCACCAGGAGAAGGTGGGGAAAAAGGGGTGGATTTTGTTAAAGCCCAACCGGCAGTACAATACGACTAGTGCCAAAACAAGTGACATGAGTAACGAGAGTGAGACTTGGCAGAGCTGCCAAGTATTGTGGCTTTCCCTTTTTGCAGAAGGCCACCTCGCCGGCACTGCCAAGTTTCTATGGCCAAGTTTGTCCGCAAACAGCCCAGCCCAGACCGAGTTCGAACACCATTCGGAAGTTTATCTCTTGCATACACAACTGGTAAAATCCCTTCTCAGAAAAAAAATGTGTCTCGAACTGTAGATGCACTAAACCGCCCGCACTAAAAAAAATAACATTTGGGCAACTACTGCCCAGCCCGATGCATCAGGTTTCTTATCTCGAAACTTGGCTGGGTTGCAGCACTGCCACGTTCGAGATGCTCACTCACAGCCTTGCCAGGTTGAATGCCCATCGCGAACTGCTGGCAGCCTGACGTCAGCTGTCTAGTCACATGCCCTCGAGTTGCAGCACTTTGAGGAAAAAAAAGTGCAACTTGCCGGTCGGGCTTTAAGTGCACAGGATGAGGTGTGGTGGGGTCAATAGAGGCAACATTACTGCTCCAGTGCCCGCAGTCTGAGGCGTCTCAAAGCGTGTTGCCATGTAGTTTCTCCCCTATCCCGTGTTTTGAGCCACTTCTGAGTGTGTGATAATGTACCCCCCCCATAGGTTACATTTCCCCCATGCCCACGCTATGCAGAGTGGGCAGAGCTGATTGTGTATGATCGTGCTACCCCTCCCACATGTACTACCATGCTCCCCCATGCCGACGCTAAGCAGGCCTATGGAGTGGGCAGAGCGCTCACTCAGAAGCTCAAGGAGCTCATTCCCCGGCAGATGTTCAAAATCCCCATTCAGGTGAGCTTGGGCGGGCATTCCTAGTGTCTCTATGTTGTCACTCACTCATACTGGTACTCGGAATATTCACCTGGGTTCCTTTTTCTGCCGTTTGGCCGTTGATGCCTTCCAGTGTTTTGGCTTGGGTCGTTCCTCCCCTTTCTGATCAGGCGTGTGTCGGGACTAAGGTTATTGCGAGTGAAACAATCGCAGCTATCCGGAAGGACGTGCTTGCTAAGTGTTACGGTGAGTGTGCTGTGTTACACCATGCATTTCCAGTAGCTTATGTCATGCAATGGGTTGTGTGTTGCTAATGTAAGCATATTATGGCTGCAGGTGGTGACATTTCGCGCAAGAAGAAGCTTTTGAAGAAGCAGGCGGCGGGTAAGAAGAGAATGAAGGCTCTTGGGCGGGTTGAGGTGCCACAAGATGCCTTCATGGCTGTGCTTAGACTCGAGAAGGAAAGCTTGTGACAGACATCAAGTGTACCCAAGCAGCAATTTTTCCAATGGTATTCTAAGACCAGGGAGTGCCACCTTGGAATAATGCTGTATAGCCTAAGCTTCTTATTTTTTGCCTGCCTCGAAGTAAGAAATGTTACGCACGGCGTTGGTAATAATGGTTCGGCATGGTTTCGTTAGCTGCGCCGAAATGTCTCTGGGTAAGGAATGTTATTCCTAACTAGGTTGTACTGCAATCGCGTACACCTGACCGAACCCTTGGAAGCAGGCCCTCGGATTCGTTTTAGGCCACACTGATTGATCAGTGTTGATCTTAAAAAACACCCTGAAAATCAGTTCTTGGTAGTGGTTTTCTTACTGGTTGGCCCTGGTTCTTTCGTTTTCAAGGCTGATTCATCAGGGTCCGTACAAGAGAAGACCCTAAAGAAAAGCAGAATCAGCGTAAAAAGCCTGTTAACTATGGGCCTGCTTGGAAGACCAGGCTCGGTCCGATTCCGACGCGACCCCGAGGTTGGCTCGCACTGCCTCCGGCCCTTTCGACCGCGCCTGTACCCAACCTAGCCCTCCGGGCTTGTCGCCTAGCTAGAGTTCCCGCTATATAATGCTAGGCTTGTCGAATAATAATTCTTGTACTCGTCATTATTATTCGACGCACTCTCAATTATTATTCATTACATCTGGTACAGGCCCTCAGATTGGTTTTAGGGAGGCTGATTGCTCAGGGTCGCCCATGTGAGTGTCAAAAATTGAAGAAGTGATTGATAGGGTGAGAGTACACACAGATATACCTAAGTGTTGTACTCTCTAAGAGATGACCCTATACAGTCTATACAAATATGACAAATACACATGTTCGACACACCCCCTAGACTGCATAGGGGAATGCCCTAAACAAACAGCTCAGGGCGGCACTACTAGTCCAACCTCTGAGACAAGGGTCTGAGAGACCAGTTAGAAGGAGTACAAACAAGGCAAGAACAAGAGCAGGGCGGCACTACTAGTCCAGCCACTGAGAGAGGACACAAGTCCAGTCTGAGTATACGTATAAAGGACAGTACAAAGTCAAGGTCCTAGCAAGTGAGAGGCTACAGGAACTAGACCAAGCTGTACACAGTGCCGCTGATGATCTTTAGGCGCAAGCGCCTTCGTAAAGATATCAGCTGTGTTGGCACCTGAGGCCAAGTGTACTACGCGAGCCTGACGTCGCTGCTGTAGCTCACGCAGGAGGAAGTACCGCAGCTGAATGTGCTTTGCTCTGCCCTCGAGTCGAGGCTCCTGACACAGGAGGATCATGGCCCTGTTGTCAGCGAACAGGACCGGGGCAGAGCTAGGCCGCTCACCTAAGTCGGTGAGCAAGAAGGTCAGCCAGCGGAGCTCCTGTGCCGCCATGGCACCAGCGTAGATCTCAGCCTCACAGCTGGACTGCGCAACATACGAGGAGCGGGTAGCTCTCCACGAGACGGCACCTGAGCCAAGGCTGAAGCAGTAGCCCTGGGTAGACCTGAGTGTCTCAGCGTCGTCTGCCCACGAAGCGTCTGTGTGTCCAGTAAGGACCACTGGCCTGCGTCCTCCTAGCACTAACCCCATGCCTGATGTACTAGCAAGATAACGCAGAACCCTCTTAGCGGCAGACCAGTGCTGCGGTCGGTGCCTGCCTGTGGCCACAAAGCAAGCCAGGATGCTGAGAGGGTATGCGAGATCTGGGCGAGTGCAAGTCATCAGGTACATGAGGCAACCCACCAGCTCTGCGTAGGGGCCACTGGGCTCTACCAACTCCTCAGACACTGGAGCGGAGAGTCTGTGGTCTACAGGCAGAGGGGTGGGCTGTGCAGAGGAGAACTGAAGGCTGAACCTCTGAAGGACCTGGCGCACCAAGTGTGACTGAGACAGGGTGATGGTGCGCGCAGCTCTGTCCCTGGAGATCTGCAAGCCAAGGTAACGGCACAGTTCTCCAAGGTCAGTGCACGTGTGTCTCTTCAGCAGCTCTGCCTTCACGGAGGCCAGTGCGTCCCTGTCAGCTGTGGCAAAAACCAGGTCGTCGACGTAAACAAGGATGTAGAACGGAGTCTGGCCAGCACGAACGAAGAGTGAAGGGTCTGCGGAAGACGGAAAGAACTGCAGGTCAGCAAGCGTAGCACGGAGAGTGTCGTGCCACTCACGGGGAGCCTGGCGCAGGCCGTAGACGGGGCGCCGCAGGAGCCACTGGGTCCCAGGAGGGAAGGTGCCAGTGAAGCCCTGAGGGCGCCGCAAGTAGACCTGCTCGTGTAGGCTGCCCTGAAGGAAGGCAGTGGAGAAGTCGAGGGAGTGAAGCTCGTAGTCACGCTGAGCAGCTAGGTGTAACAGAACCCGAAGAGTAGTCATCTTCGGGGTCAGAGCGAAGGTCTGGAAGAAGTCCACCCCCTCGCGCTGGTTGAAGCCTCTAGCGACATAGCGCGCCTTGAAGACAGGCGGCTCTCCAGGAGGGCGCTTCACCTTGAAGAGCCAGCGGCCATCGACTACGTTCACCCCAGGTGGGGGAACTGCGTCGACGAAGGTGCCGGTGGATCTCCAAGATGCCATCTCCTGCTCCATGGCAGCTATCCACTGCGAGGCCCAGGGTCCCGAGGTCGCCTCAGCGTAAGTGCGAGGGGTCGGGATGTCGAAAGCGTCTGGGTCACCCTCAGGGACTAGCGCTTGGTGACGGCATCTAAGTAGGCCTGAGCAGTAGTGAGGGACCTAAAGCGAGGACGCTCGGACAGGGGGAGGGCATTGCTAATGGCAAGCTGGGCGACAGCATCGCGAGAAAGCCAGACAGAGCGCGCACGGGCAGTGGCAGCAGTAGACTCACGCTCAGTGGGTGTGGGGTCAGCGGGCAGAAGAGCAGGGGGGTCTGGGCAGGGGAGCGTACCATCAAGGTGTGCGGAAAGCGGTTCACCATCCTGCCGCTGGCCAGTGAGTTGGCGGCGGAGGTCGGCAAGCCATGCCTCGAACTCTAGGGGCTGACCTTCAGCGTCGAAGCGAAGCTCCGCCGCCATCAGGAACAGTCCAGTGCGGTGCAGGGCAGCGCAGTGCAGTGCAGTGCGGTACAGTGCGGTGCAGTGCGGTGCAGTGCGGTACAGTGCGGTGCAGCGTGGTGCAGTGCGGTGCAGTGCGATGCAGTGCGGTGCAGTGCGATGCAGTGCAGTGGAAGGCAATACAGTGTGGTGCGTGGCGGTACGGTGCAGGGCAGGGCAGGGCGGGGTGGGGGGGAACCGTACCAGTGAGGAGGACGGGGCCGGGGCAGCGGGGCCGGGCAGGTGCGACCGGGCCGGGCGAGGGCGACGGGGCCGGGCGGGCGCGACGGGGCCGGGCGGGCGCGACGGGGCCGGGCTGGTGTGACAGGGCCGGGCCGGGGCGACGGGGCCGGGCGGGCGCGACGGGGCCGGGCAGGGGCGACGGGGCCGGGCCGGTGCGACGGAGCCGGGCGGGCGCGACGGGGCCGGGCTGGTGCGACGGGGCCGGGCGGCTGCGACGGGGCCGGGCAGGGTGCGACAGGGCCGGGCGGGTGCGACGGGGCCGGGCGAGCAGGACGGGGCCGGGCTGGTGCGACGGGGCCGGGCGAGCGCGACGGGGGACCCAGGAGGGGCGCTGAAGGGGCCCAGGAGGGGCGCGACGGGGCCCAGGAGGGGCGCGACGGGGCCCAGGAGGGGCGCTACGGGGCCTGGGAGGGGCGCGACGGGGCCCAGGAGGGGCGCGAGGGGGCCCAGGAGGGGCGCTACGGGGCCTGGGAGGGGCGCGACGGGGCCCAGGAGGGGCGCTACGGGGCCTGGGAGGGGCGCGACGGGACCCAGGAGGGGCGCTACGGGGCCTGGGAGGGGCGCGACGGGGCCCAGGAGGGGCGCTACACGGCCTGGGAGGGGCGCGACTGGACCCAGGGGGGGCGCTACGGGGCCTGGGAGGGACGCGACGGGGCCCAGGAGGGGCGCTACGGAGCCCAGGAGGGGCGCGGCGGGGCTCAGGAGGGGCGTGACGGGGCCTAGGAGGAGCGCGACGGGGCCCAGGAGGGGCGCTACGGGGCCCAGGAGGGGCACGACGGGGCCTGGGAGGGGCGCGACGGGACCCAGGAGGGGCTCTACGGGGCCGGGGAGGGGCGCGACGGGGCCCAGGAGGGGCGCTACGGGGCCCAGGAGGGGCGTTACGAGGCCTGGGAGGGGCGCGACGGGGCCCAGGGGGGCGCTACGGGGCCTGGGAGGGGCGCGACGAGGCCCAGGAGGGGCGTTACGGGGCCTAGGAGGAGCGCGACGGGGCCCAGGAGGGGCGCTACGGGGCCCAGGAGGGGCGCGACGGGTCCCAGGAAGGGGCGCGACGGGGTTAGGGGGGGGGGGTCGTGACGGGGCTAGGGGGGAGCGAGCGGAAGCGGGAGGTGGGGGGGATCCTACCTCCGCGTGATACCATATCAACAATTGAAGAAGTGATTGATAGGGTGAGAGTACACACAGATATACCTAAGTGTTGTTCTCTCTAAGAGGCGACCCTATACAGTCTATACAAACATGACAAATACACATGTTTGACAGTGAGAGCCCATGTTTTTCAGGGTCGGGTTTTTGGCATAGCATGTTTTTTCAGGCCAATTGTTTTTTTTAGTCTGACTTATCAGGCCTACATTTTTGTTGTTTCTGATTCTTAGGTCGGATCGGACTTCACTGCGTACAATTCTTCTGGTCAGATTCCTGCATGATTTTAACTAAGGACCAATCAACCCCCTCACACCTCCTCCAGCTCGCCTCGAAGTTGCGTGATTCTGGTTGCGTGATTCTGGTCAAGGACCAATCACTCCCCCCACACCTGTTCTAGCTCGCCTTGAAGTTCCGTGATTGTGGTCAAGGACCAATCACGCCCCTCACACCTGCTCTAGCTCGCCTCGAACTTGCGTCATTTTTTTGTCAAGGACCAATCATGCCCCTCACACCTGCCCCACCTTGCCTCGGACTTGCGTGATTCTGGTCAAGGACCAGTCATGCCCCTCACACGTGCTCAAGCTCGCCTTGGCAGATAAGATTCAGATTCAGGGCGAATTTCGAGTAAGGCTGATTCGTCAGGCTCGGTAAAACAAGAACATACTATTTTTCAGGCCTTAGAAAATGGGAACACATAAATTTCAGGTTTGACAAAAATCAAAACCTGAAAAATCAGGGTATGCCCTAGAAAACACCCTGATATACAGGCTTTCAGGCCTTTTTGGCCTGACTTCTGAGGCCCTGATCTGGTATCAGAGCTACTTTCCTGGTTCACCCCGCTTTCTCAGAGTAGTTTATTCCCAAGGTGTG